TCTCTCTCTCTCTCTCTCTCTCTCTCTCTCTCTCTCTCTCTCTCTCTCTCTCTCTCTCGGAGAAAGGTCTCTCTATGGAGTCCTAATTGCCTAGGAACTTGCTACGGAGACACGGAGACTACTGAGCTGGCTTTGAGGGCTGGTACCACCATGCCTGCCTAAACCTGTTATTTCTAATTAGAATTTTACTACCCTATGTGGATCCTTTAAAGACACCATATAACGTTGTTACAGCAGTTGAGATTTAGATCGTTCTCTTCTCTGTCTCTTTTACACACACACACACACACACACACACACACACACACACACACATAGGGAGAGAGGGTGGGAGAGAGAGATACAGACAGACAGAGAGAGAGACAGGGACAGAGAGAAACCTATGAAACCTTACTCATACAAATAAACTGTGTTCTTAAGCATAGTAAGTTTGAGCAGTTTGGAGAAGACTGAACTATTTGTTATATTTAATATTCAGAGAGAAAGCAGAAGTAGAGAGTTCGTATGAAAATGAATTTTGTCTTCACTATGACTGTAAGCAGGTGGTGTAGAGAGAACACAGACCTGCTGAGTACCTGCATAGGCTGCTGCAAGGGAGACGGACAGTGTGAGGACGGGAGCACCTCCCTTCTGTGTGCATGCTATCTTTCCTGAGAGCTTTCATGCACTAACAGTACTGACTAGTGTTGACAAAACTGTGTTTGCTATGTGAATTGCCAACTCTGCTTTGTCTAGTAGCAATGAAACTGTTTTATGACACAAGTTCTGTTCTTCAGATCCTATGAAGTAGGTGTGTGCAGTTCTAGTAGTAGTGGTGAGACCATTCCTTACCTTCAAATCACATTTTTTGTTGCACAAGAGTGAATTATTATTTCTCTAGTTATTAAAGTATTACCTGAAGCCACAGCTTTTGTAGAGAAATGTTTTCTCTACACTGGTGGTAAACCTTTAGCTTAAATCTGACATCAAAATAAGGAAATGCTTGAATCTACAGATCAAGAAACTGAGATACTATATTTAAAACTCAGAACATGGAACCTGCAAATTACAAAAGGGTCACAGAAATTCTGGATGTTCATCCTAACTGAGGAGACAAAAACCAAGGTAGAGTTACACTTCTCTTGTGACCAATGTATCTATACGTATGTTCAGAGAGATGACAGACAACAAAAAGCAGAAGCAGAGAGGAAAAGAAGAACAAAAGAGAAGAAACAGGGTCAAGGCCTGTGAACAGCGAGGAGCCCCATCCTGTGAATCACTTGTCAATACTGGGTGGGCTTCTTGGCTTCAGAGAGGTTTATGGGGTAAGAAAAATGGTTTCTCAAGTTGTACTTTAATTCATTAGGTTCGGCAGGGCTTGTCAAAAGCCTCCTAAATAAAGGCCAGCATGGATGAAGCAACCCTGAGCATCCACAGTCTAAGCTGCCTGTGCATCGTACTCACCAGAGTAGTTGATCCCACTGCCTGCAGCAAACGGAATAATAGAAGGAGGTTTAACTTTACCACACATTTTGAGGTTTATTCAATATTCAGACATATACTGAAAACATGGCAATCTTGGCTATTCTATAACGTTCTTAACAGTTGAAACATACTTACTTCTGAGTAAATAAGCTAAAGGGCAAAACTGCTTTAAATTAGAAACATATTTATCTACCAGAGATAATTAAAAGATAAAACAAAAACAATTCTGGCTTTTAAAATTCAGGAGATTATTAAGATACTGACAAAACTGCTTTTTTATATGACAGCAAGAGATGTTTTATAAGTTCTACTTTCTGTGATAACTCAAATTGCCCCAAATGACTAACTCTGAGTATAACATAAACAATTTGTCCCTACATGGTAAATCATGCTAGTACTGTACAATAAAGCATATGTACTAAGTAAAATCATCCAGAAATTCATAGCAGTTTTAAATTCTAGAATATAAAGTGGTTTTAAAAACAAACTTTAGAGCTGCAGGTATAGTCTGGGTAGAACGCTTGTCGAACATGCATAGCCTGACTGCTAGTACTTCCAAACAACATCATATTCAGTAAGCTCTCGCCCCATCCCCCAGTTACTATTACTAGAGTTACCAGCTGTATCAATTACTTATGTTTATATAACACACTAAATAACTGTATCAATTACTTACTTTCATAGAACATACCAAATGCATTAATTGGTCATCTTACCGTCTTTTCCATCTATGGATTTTGATACTTCAATATCAAAATTTTCTTGCATCTGCTGACCCCTAAAACAACTGAGATGTTCTTGCTCAATTAAATTACTTTCTTCTTCTTCTAGAGGTTGCCAAGTCCCATCAATAAACCACTGTCCACGCATTACTGGTATTTTATCAGCTTCTGAAAAGAGAGATCACAAGATCAGCCTCTCACAGGGAGGCATACTAGCTATTCCCCAAGCAGGCTTTTATGACAGAATATAATCATTTAAGGTAGAGAAAAGCAGAGTTCAAGCCAGGTGTACCTTCTCCGCTTGTTTCAGTCAGTGGCTCACTCTGGCCACTATTCCAGGTGTGACCCACCACACTTGCTAGAGGGTTTTTCAGTTATCAAGATTAAGTTCTACTAGACATTATGCTTAAGGTTCCTTTATCATTAGGAAGATAGAGCAACTGTCTATGTATGTGAGGTCCTGTGTAAGTCAGCTGTGGAGGTTAAGGGCTTTAATGCAAGGCTTGGTTGGTAGTTCATGCTTATCAGTGTAGCATTCTATCCATTGTGTCTAGAGACTGTGGACACAGTGCTTTTTTAGGTCATGTTGGAACATGTGTTTCCAGGTGGAACATAGGGAAAAACAATAAAGCAATTATATAAAGCAAATTCCTCGTCCATTTTAGAAAAAAAAAACACATTTTCCTAATAAAACACCATTACTAGAAGCCCAAGACTTTTCTTTATTATAAACAAACCACACTAATAGTCATCTTTTTTTTTTTTTTTTTTTTTTTTGGTTTTTCAAGACAGGGTTTCTCTGTGTAGCCCTGGCTGTCCTGGAACTCAGAAATCTGCCTGCCTCTGCCTCCCAAGTGCTGGGATTAAAGGTGTGCTCCACCACTGCCCGGCCACTAATAGTCATCTTGAATCCGAAAACTATTTATTAAAAAAAGCAAAAGCAGGGTGGCATTCACCATCGTATCAAAGTGCTTGCAGGGTAACACCAGGTCCTAGGGTTCAACTCTCAGTAACAGCAAAAAGTTATCAACAAAACAAACAGTAACTCCACAAAGCCAAAGATTAGTCAGAATGAAAGAAACATTACCTTCAAAGTGGAAGCAAGATGAAACAAATGAATGAACGAATACACACACACACACACACACACACACGCACACATTCATGAACACACATAGAAACATGCCTTAAGCTTTCTGCAATAGTCACATTGTCAGTCATTACAACCCAGCTGTAGGCTTTGAGGAATGCATTAATTTTGTGAGTATCATTAGTGTTTAAACTGATGACATGAACACTCCATGTCATACTTACATACAAGAAAGAAAATTTTCATGAGTGAGAACAGCCAGAGGTTGATAGGCGAGACAAGTGTAGTTACAGGAACCTTGATACGCTGATATGCCTGATATGTTGATAGGGCCACAGGTGTATGTTATCGGACAGTCAACTATCTCTTCTGCCAGAGGTATGGGGAATGGCTCCTTTTATCAGGTGGGAATCAGTTCCACAAATTCCTGAGAAATGCTGGCTTTTATCTAACCATGAGAAAGCCTTCCATAGTCTAGGTTGAGTTCATTTTTTGATTATTTGGACTGCCCTTTAAAGTTTGGGGAATTGGGAGCTTCCTTTGGACCTGACAATTAGAACTTAGAATGTTAGCATTCAAATATAAAAAGAAAACCTCTGTAATTATAAATTTCAATGAGGAATATTAATGTGAACTACTGATACCTTTTCTCTTAAAGGGGGCGGGGCACAAACAGTGCATGTGAGCAGCCCTAATCAGTTCTCCCAAAGGCCAAGAATGGCTGATTTCAGGCTTGGGCAGGAGATATGCCAGATGATGTGTTTCACTCTACCACACTTGTACTATGAGGCATTAAATTTTTTCTGTTACTCGCTTTGTTTCTTTGAGTTGAAATCTCTCTGTGTAGCCCTGGCTAGCCCAAGGCCTCGAACCTGGAGGATCCCTTTGCTTTGGAGTGCTAGGATTCCACCACCCTGGCTCCTATCCTGTGCTTCTTGGGATGCTCTTGTATTTTCTGTTCTCTCTACAGTGATGCTGGGCACTGAGAGTCTCACGATGTATTAGATGTACATGGTGAACACAGAGCCTCATCGAGCTATGACTTTTCACGCTGTAAGCACACTCTTATGCTTATTGGGGAGGATGCGGCTTGAATTTTACTTTTGCTATTGAGGCTGATACCCAAGTTTTTCTTCTCTCCATCTGGCTGTGGTATCTGCATATCCCTTTCACATCACTGGGCTCTGCATGTGTCTCAAACACAGCACAGAATTAAGCTTTGCAGATAAAGTCATGTGAAATTTTCTTTTGAATTGTTTATTGATATAATTAATATGTCTGGACCCAACTCTTTGTTCTTTTATAGTTATCATCTTTATTATTCAAACTTTCCTATGGAGCAGTTCCATGCCCACCTTCCCACCAATTAGGAAGACTAGGCAAGTGTGCAGATCTTTTTTTATTTAAAATTTACCATTTGGCCAGTCTATTTTAAATGGCATCTATGACCTCAAACTTATACTATTATAATATATGCAATAGGCTAATTATCTTATTCTATTTTAATTTTCTCTTTGTCTGGACATAACAACAATTATACTTATTTTCCCAGTACTGTTTTATTCTTGGATCTACAGTAAAATATAATTGTTTGTGGTATGTTGTTAGTATGTTCAATCTGTTCACCCAATATTGGAAGAGCAGGTTAGCCAGCTTAAGTCCTAAAGTTCCATCTCCATCTTCCTAGAACATGGGTCTAACTTTATTAGTAATGTGACTTTTTTCTCCCTTTACAGTTATCTTTAAAATCTAATGTCATAGGGCTGAATGAGAGCTGTCCTGGCTTCTCCTGGGTGAGTGTTCCAGCCTGTCCTCCACTGGCTACCTTCTAAAACTCTCCCTTCTTTCGCCACCCTACTTTCTAAGACCCTCCCTTGCTTCTCCATCCTACTTTCACACTCTTGGTTGTTTTCCTTTACATCAATGGCCCTTATTAGTTTGTTGTTTGGATTTACTCTCCCTTGGATAGCTTGTAGTTAATGTATTACCTTTCCTTAAACTTTGTCTTAGGTTTCTATGTTATGATAAAAACGACCAAAAGCAACTTGAGGAAGAAAGGGCTTATTTCATCTTATAGCTTACAGTTCAAGGGAACTCAGGGCAGGAACTGAAACAAAGCCATGAGTAACTGTGCCTATTATCTTCCCGCCATGGCTTGCTCAGCTTGAGTTTTTATACAACCTAGGGGAACAATGGCATTGCCCACAGTGACCTGGGCCCTCCCAAATCAATTATTAATCAAGAAAATGCCTTAGAGACTTGTCTACAGCCTAAACTGAAGGAGACATTTTCTCTATTAAGATCCCCTCTTCCCAGAAACATGAAGAGATGTTCAAGTTGACAAAACCAACCAGCACAAACTTGTTTACTAAACTTAATAAAATCTTGTTACATTTCTTCCTGGATTTGTTTTGTCTTAGCTTTTGAATGTGACTTTGAGTGACTCTCTTCCTTCTCCTTTCCCACTAGTCCCCCCCTCAACCAGTTTCTTCCTCTTCCTTTACCAATCCAAGGCCCGCACTGGTGCTGGGACATTTTCTCTCTGTGGATAATTTCCTTTGATGCTTTAAGTGGTCAAACTTATTTTTATTTACATTACTGACATTTTCATAAAGGAATACTGTATTTTCATTTGAACTGTATCTTCTCCCTCTTCAACTCTTGTCAAATTGAGGATTCCTTGTATCATTGTTAAACACACACACACACACACACACACACACACACACACACACACAGGGAGTTTGTTGAGTTTGTTTAGCATTGCTCATATGTACATATAAACAGGGCTGACCAGTTGGGACTGAATACCTTATGTCTGGTTGAAGACACCCTCTCAGTAGCCAGTGACTACCTGTAGCTCTCTATTTCCGAGGTGGGGCCTTTGGAGGTTATCCACTGGATCTGTGGATAATTCCTCTCTTCCCTCTCCAATCTTCTTCAGTCTTTTAGGCCACTGTGTGCCCACTCTGTGCACTCATATACTGTAATTTTGTGCATGTCTCTGTGTGTGTGTGTGTGTGTGTGTGTGTGTGTGTGATTGAAGAGTCATACCACTGTCTATCTTGGTGCAGGTGTGAGCTGTGGGTATGTGGCCCATTATGGGCTTTGTGTCTGTGTATGTGTGAGGACATGTAGGGCAACTTAGGTTTAGAGAGCTGTTACTACCTTCCAAATCAAGTAGCTTATCTTATTTAATCTTAACTCTAATCTTAATTATTTCTCCAGCTTCCCAAGTGCACACTGAGTCTTAGAGAGCTATTTTCAATTATACATTTCCAGATAGGAAAGGTACCTGCTTAGCCCTCTCTCTCTCACCAAAATCACAGGTTCTTGAGTTGTGTTGAGTCATGAAATAGTCACTCAACACATTGACTTCTAGGGAAAAACAAAAACACAACAACCATTCAAGTCTGTTCCTTCTGTGTCGCTCAGTCGACACTCTGGGTGGGTCACTCAAGGCAGAAACCTTGGAGTTACCCAGGACGCCTCTTCCTAACTGCTTTTTACAACTCCAGCTCAACACTATGTACCGTTTATCTCAAAAATCATGCTCACGTTGGGCTCTATGAATAAGGTGCTTGCTATGGCAAGCATGAAGAGCTGAGCTGAGTATACAGCACCCATATAAAAACCAGGTGTGATCGCAGGTACCAGAAACCCCAGCACTGGGGATGGAGACAGGCAGATTCCTAGAGCTGGCTGGTCAGTTATCTATCTCAAAGGAACAAGATAGGGTACGGCAGAGCCCAGCCTCTGGATGTGTACACATGGTTATGTACCCACTCATCTACCACCATCAGTGACCATAACAAAAAGTTCAGATGATTTTCCAAATCATCCCTTACTGGCCAGGATGTCTTGGTTCTTGCTTGTTTAGTTTCTGAAGCTGCCACAGAAGCCTAGCATCCCTAGTGTCAAATCTGCCAACAGTCCCACCACCTTTGCTAACCCTTAGTTGGCAGCACACGTCCGTGTAAGTACACATGAGCATCTCTACAGAAACCTAATCCACCTTTTGTGGTTGCCAAAAAGAAGTGTTTTATCTCAATACTCAAATTCTCTTATGGCTCTGTAC